CTCTCTCTCTCTCTCTCTCTCTCTCTCGCATTATTGTTAATGATTAACAGTAACCTTTGGGTTCTAAACACTGGGCTATACACTCATAACCACACCAGGCTTTGTGAGCTGTTCTCTTTTCCAAAACATTTCTGTCTTTAATGATATAGATATGTAAATAACAATACATATCTGAAGGAAGAACACTTCAGGAAGAGGAAATTAAAAATGTATTTAAATTTGCTAAGGTAGAAACAATTTGCTAGGGCAGTTGGAAACACACAGAAAGATCCGTATAGCTCAAGGGAAATGACTGAGAAAGAAAACAGCAGAATATCAAGTCAGAGAATAAATTGTGAGACATGGTAAAGAGTTTTGTGGGAAGCTATTGGAAGGTTTTGAGTAAAAAAACAACATTATATAACTTATTTTTAGAGAATTCCCCTGATTGCTGTGTGGAAAACAAACCACAAAGGGGCAAGGGAAGAAGAAAGGATATACTCCAGGAAGAGGTGAGGGTGGTTAGCACTCAGATGACAGGGCAGAGGAAGTAAGAAGTGGTCAGGGTTTTAAAGGCTGAAATGCCAGAACTGCCAAAGGGTTGAACGAGTGATGTGAAGAGAAGGGAAGAACCAAGGGTGCTCCCTGGTTTGGGGCCTCCACGCTGGGAGTGAGGGGAAGTCACTGACAAAGGTGGAGGACACTCGGGAGCGAGCTGCTTTCCTGATAGAAATCAAGAGTTCTGTTTCAGGTGGGAATGCAGACTGGTGCAACCACTATGGAAAACAGTATGGAGGGTCCTCAAAAAATTAGAAATGGAGCTGCCTTTTGACCTAGTGATTCCACTCCTAGGAATGTATCCTAAGAATCCTGAAACATTCATCAGAAAGAATATATGTACCCCTATGTTCATAGCAGCACAGTTTACAATAGCTAAGATCTGGAAACAGCCCAAGTGCCCATCAGTAGATGAGTGGATAAAAAGCTGTGGGACATTTATACCATGGAACACTATTCGACTATGAAGAGGAAGGATCTCATACCCTTTGGGACAGTATGGAAGGACCTGGAGAAAATTATGCT